ATGGAGACAGAACTAATTAGTATATCACCTCCCGTTATTCTGCCTGGCTTATAAGTACATTCTACAACTAGAAAATTTTTCACTCTGGATGTACTTACATTTCAATCTGAGCCATACAATTAAGAATACAAAGGGTACAACACAGTAAAAGAAATACCTAGAACTGCAGAAATAAAGGTTTGGTTTTAATACTTCCTCTATTGACCCATTCAGGGGGCAGAAAAGGAAAAGCTTGAAACTTAACTACCTAAAATGGCCAGGGAAGAGACACAAAGCAAGCTCAGACCAGCAGCAGTGAAGAACAATGAAAAGGGGAGAAAGAAGTCGGTCCTTCATGCCTGGCAGATGAATTTACAGTTGAAAGAGTTTGGGTGAAGTTTTTACCAACACTAAGTACTCAAAAAATTCAGGTTCTAACCCTCCTTATCTCAGTCACCCAAGGATTTGCCCTCAGATGCAGTGACACATTTTGCACGAGTTGGTTTGCATGATCAAGAGAGGTACCAGTAATAATGATTTAAAAATTGAAAACACAGCTTATGCTGTCTCAGTATTGTAGCCATCCATACACTGTGAGTGATTTAGAGGGGTTTTTTTTCCAATTTACATAACAAACAACAAGAAATTTAAAAAAGATAAAAATTAGACTTAAAAATGAACCCAGTACACATGTTACTACACCACTTCGTATGGTAGAAAAATCACACTCCCATCCCCTGAAGAAAGGGTTCAAGCCTTGCAACAACAGCATAAAAAGTACCAGACTGAAAGTCTGGAGCCGTAAAGACTGAGAAAAGTTCATGTGTCTCAGCGTGGGAAGGATCCTCTCAGTGGAAGCAAGGATCTCTGTACAGGAGAGCTGACGTCAGTGGAAGTGGGAGGGAAATGGTGATGGGAGGTTTGTCAGGGAAATGATTGAGGACAGTTTCAGTGGGAACAGGGAGGATTCAAGAGAGGGTGGATGGCCTCAGTGGAAGCATGGACAGAAAGTGTGGGAGTATCTAAGGGAGGGAGCACTCATGTGTTCCAAGGGAAAGGAATTACCAGACAGGGAGGAAAAGAGCAGACAGCTTAATGGACTAAACAACGTGCTGTTAACTGCTGAAATGAGATCCACTTCAGCACTGCAGGTACCATATAGCACACAGCCTCTTATATGCAGAATTATGCAACCACTGGTTTGCAGTGACTGCAAAATTCACAGGCAATTTCACAAGGTTTGAATGCAGAAAACTTACTAGCTGTAGGGGCAGGGATTCAAACTGTCTGTCCCATATCAGCTGATAAATCAAAAGACTTTCACATTTAGTCCTTCTGGCTTAGGATTCATTTTAATTTAAAATAAAGGAAGTTTGGATTTACTCTCTGATCCCCTTGCACCCAAACACAAATATTTCTGTATTAAATGTACACGACAGGGAGAGTTACACAAAAAAAAAAAGGAAGGAAATCTTACGTACAGAAAAGAATGACAGAGCAAATTCAAGGTGCAATCTATGCACTACAGTGTATATTAATGCACTGTAGAAGAGTGACACACACACACAATGTTGGGATAGCAGATGATGATGAATACCCAAGACAATTTTAAATAAATGCCCATGAAGAACTTATGCCATTCAGCATTTACTCCACTTACACTATAGATTAAACAATTATTATTCTAAAGGTGTTTAAGCAGGTTTCTGTAAAGCCAGGAACCTTTACCACAAATTCGACTATGCAAATGTCTGAAAATCATCATTAATATATACAAAAAACCCCCATACTACTACAATTTTGAGCCTGCTTTCTTGAGATTTTTAAAGTTAAAATAAAAACCAGAGAAACTCTCCTTTGCAACAGTACTGGGTAAGTGTAATTTGATATTCTTTATGTAGCACTGGATAATCAAACCTAGATGAAGGGACTTCATCTAGGTCCTGCTCATCTTTCACTAGTACAGGGTTTAATCTGCAGAGTCAATACATCAAAAATTAAGGGAAGAGTTTTCATGGTTGGTTCATTGTTTAGATATGGCACTTATTCCAAGATGCTCATAAATTTTCAAATAAAAGCCACATATGAAAATACTAATTAAGGAGATAGATACAGGTGCCATGACTTAAAAGGGCTGCTCCATTTCTCATGTACTATCACCGTACTCACATACACCAGAAATGGGTATTATGGCATTTATCTCTGCATACACACATATTTTCGGGATTGTTCTGCAAATCTGGATGGATAAACTTAGGGTTTTCCATATTAGGAAAGAACAGGTAACTTTCTTAGCTACAGTTTATAAATTGATGCAAATCGCAAAATACAGTATGCTCACACTGCACATCCACAAAATGTTCCTCTGCTATTTTACCAGAAGAAAGACATAGTAAGACACAAACATAAAACCAGAATAAGTTGGGGGGTTAATTAGTAATATATATAAAGCCATTTTACAATTAGCATGGGGTTTTTTCTTTTTCTTACACTTTCTGACTTGAAAAATGTGCACTATAGCTAACAAACTGATTCAATAAAAATTATTGAACTATTATACATGTTTTAATAAACTTAACACTAATGCCAGCCAAAGTGAAAATATGAGATTTATGCATAGGCCAAGTTTTGTTCTTAGCTCTAACACAGCGTTCTCTTGGCTTTAACCTGTGCATATACAACAATTTAATTTAAAGTACCTGAAACCAAGTGAAAATGTCATTCAGGACTATTCACACAAATTCTGGGTGACACCACCACTGCCCAAAGTACAAAACGCTTGTAGCATGTTGTGTTTGTTAGAAGGGATCCCTGGGGCCATAAAGGGTGTAGTGCACACTCTGAAGAATAGCAGTGGTTCTTAGTAACACCCCAATTCTTACAGTTCTTTCTCAAATCAAAAATCCTTTCAGTTACAAAACAGACAAAACATCCTGCCCAATGCTCCTTTTGGCTTCAGGAATTTCAGACTCCTGTCCATTATTTTCAATGTTCTCACACTATTTCTTTGTAAACAACTTCACCGTACTGTGAAAACTGCTCTCCAGCGATCACTCACTCCAGCACAATCTCCGAGATAACGGTTATCTGGCACACTAAGAACTGTAAATCTGATCGTACTGTACACACTAATGATAAAAGCAGAGAACGAAATACCACGATGCTTTACAGCTCTAGAGAGTATTACAGGATTTTTGCACATGAAAATAATGCAGATGTGACGTGTCCAACAGATTTTGCATTCAGCTGATTGCAAACAGAACTCCGCTCTCATTCCTCAAAACCCATCTTTCACAGCACTGTGCTTAGAGTGATGACAAGGGCAGAAAATGGGATCGAGTGATAAAAACCTGAGTGACTGCCAATGAGATGACAGCATGCATATGAACCAACAGCAACCCTATAGCGTCTGGCTAAATTATCCAAACCCAATAACAAGAATTCGCACAAAGTTCTTGAAACTGAAGAACAAAATTCAACAAAATTAAGACTGCTTCCCATGCGTGCTTCTGGAAACAGGATTTTAGGAGGGGGTTTTCCCTGTAAGCAAGCACACAGGAGACATTCACAGAATATAAATTTTAAGACTATTTTTGGTTTAGATTTTGCTAACATACAATTATAATCACAATTAAAAATTCAGGTAACAGGACAATTGTCTGGATTGTGAGGAAAACTTAAGCTTCCTTAGTGTGGTTACTGTGTTAAATAAGCCGTAAGCATGTCTATCTCGTGTGAATAAGGCCGTGAAGTTCATTTCCTGTACACAAAAAATTTAGTTTAATACAACACCATTCAGCTTCACATTCTGCCTTAAGTATTGTTAATTCCTCCTCCAACTCACTACTTACAAAGTGTCTGGTAATTTTCTAGACTTTTTTAAAACTCTCATAAACAGAGATTACTAAATCTGAAGGAAAACAACTGAAGAAAATCACTCACATAACTGAAGTTAATTATTCCAGGTCAATACTCTAGAAGCCATGCAAGTAAAAATCCTAAGAAAACTACTAATCATTCGAGTTTCTGCTAATCTGCAAAATGCCTGACATTCAGCTAGATCTTGCCTGCATCTCAAGCGTGTATCTTATATTTACAGCATGTGTATCTCAGTTCTTATCACAGAACAAGAACAGATCAGCCATGTTATACAATACCCCCTGGGTTGCTACAATTTGATTTTTCTTACACTTGCAATTACTTATTTTTACAAAATAAAAATAGTTTCCAAACCAAGAAAAGCAAAGGCATAATCCAAACCTATAGCATTAGGAACTAAAGTACAACCCACAAACAAACAGCCCATCCATAGAAAGTAAACAAGCGACCGCACCACAAACTGTCTCACTTTAAAGAAAATAATCACAAATTACAATTTTTTTTTCAGTATGTGTCTCTCGACTTCATACAGTCTTGTGGTGTATCTCTACTCAAAAGTACGGGCGCTAACACATGTAAAAAAACCTACAAAAATACCCTATTTGCAGCTACAGACAAGGTCAACAAGTTGTTAATGTAAATCAGTACCCAGAGCAAAACACGCTGCCGCTCTCCCTTCAACTTTCTGAATGGAAGAGGTACGCAAACTGATCAGCCCAGCAAGCAGATCGCTTCAGTCTGCGATCTGCCCAAGCTTCCAAACAAGACAAGCACAAACAGGACCAAGGGACGACCCAGCACACACACAGGAGTTAGGGCAGCTCCCCTGCCCGGCAGAGCCCCACCAGGACGGACGGGCCCCTCCGGGTTCAGAAGCAAGACCCGTGCCCCGGCTCCAACGAGCGACGGGGTCAATTCCACCGCTCTCCTTTCCGGAATTAGGAAAACACAGTTTGCGGAACGAAGAAAGAGACTTGGGTACCTCTATAAAGTCTTCAAGACACTGATTAGTTTATAAACGAAAGTAACAGCTCAAGCCAGGAAAAGCTCCCCCACAAAGGCAGGGAGACTCCTTGGGTTAAACCGCTACAGCCAACTCCGGTTCTGAGAGAAACAGTGCTCATGTTTAGCACCCTTTTTACCTTAACACTGGATCTGCCGGTCTGGGCCTCTGCCTCCATGCTCTGGCTGTTCTCCCTCTTGTCTTTCTTAGAGGAATTAGTCCTCGCCTCATAAGTGGATGTGTTGTAGCATTTAATGAATAATCCTGGGACGGGGTTGCCTTGCTGCTGTTGAGACATGGTTGTGTTGGTCTGGTGAGGGAAATTGCACTCCTCAGACTCATTGCTACTGTGACAGATCACTCTGCTGTCAGAGAGGTTGGTGCTTGGAACACAGCCCATGCTTTGTGGCCACCTGGGGAATACTTCTAAATTGTATATATATACGTGTATATATATATATATGTATATATATATTTCTTTCCTTCCCGTTGATATTTTCCCCCTGCTTAATTTTTTTGTTAACAGGTTGAATCTCTTTCCTGCGTCTCAAATACACTCTGAAGCATTGCCATCGGTCCCTTCTATACCACCAGAAACGTGTCTGTTCTCCTCGTCCTCCAGGAAACAGGTCCTTTTATCTCAATCTCAGCAGTGGGCTGGGGAGCTGGAGGGGAGGGAAGGGGGAAATCAAGAACCGGTCGACTTCGTATTTTCACAGATTATTATTAATTTGTCTAAGCCATCTGAGAATCTTGGTAAGATTTTCTTTCCTTCTGGGAAAAGAAAAAAAAAAAAAAGAGGGGGGGAAAAGCAAAATCAAAATATAATAAAAAAATAATCCCAAGCCCCAAACGCCACACACCCGGCGTCGGCTCGGCGCTCAGAAGGTGCCGGGGGCACAGCACCATCTCCTCCCCCGAGCCCGGAGCACGGCGCATTTTCCACCCGGGCTTGCTCCGCGTTACCGATTAACCCGGGACCGGGCCGGGGGCCGCTCCCCACCTCCGCGTCCGCGCTCCCGCCGAGCAGCGCTCACTCCTCGCGGTCCAGCCCGGCGCTGCGCTGTGCCGGGGGCGTGCTTTGGGGTGTGCTTTGGGGGCCAAAATCAACGGTTTATTAAAAAATAACAACAACAACAACACGACGAAAGCCGGACCGGCGCCCCGGGAGCCGGCTGCGGCTCCTACGCCGCGCTGGGCACGTCCCGCGCCCGCCCTCGGTCGCGGGCGGGCGGGCGGCCCGCCGCGGGTGACATCAAAGGATCCCGTCCGGAAGGAAGAAGAGCCCCCCGTCAGCGCACGGGGCGGTCTGCCGCCGCCGCAGCGGCATCCCGGCTCAGTGCCGCGGGGCAGGGGGGGCCGGGCCGCGGGTAGCGCCCCTCGGAAAGCGGGGCAACGCCCGGAGGGCTTCCCTGAGCCGCGGGGGCAGCGGCGCGGCGGCGAGCATCAAAGGAGGCCTCCATGATGCGGATCGGGTTTTTGGGCAGAGCAAGTGATGGCGAAACGGCGAGGGGGTGGAAAATCAAAAATTAAAAAAAATAACAAAAAGGAGAAGGAAAAATTAAGAGCGAGAAGTGAAGGAGAAACGGCATCTAGCGTCCATCGGCTGGCTAAGGGCATGCCCAAGCGGCGAGAGCTGTGGTTCCCGGGGCCTCTGGTGTCATGCTCCCTCAGCAGGGATAAATGCCTGGCTCCCCGCAAGCCGCGCGCCCTCGCCGCGTTACTTGTTATTATGGGATGTTCCTCGGCGGCCGCGGCGGCGGCGGCCGCGGCCCCTTTTTTTTTTCCCGGCCGCCCTGCCCCTTTCCCCGCCCCGCCCCGCGGCTCCCCCCGCGCTGCCCGGCAGCTCGGCCGCGGCGGCAAGCCGGCGCAGCGCCCGGCGCGCTTGACCTCCGGGCCCGCGCTGGCTCATGAGAGCGGGCGGCCGCGCCAATGCGGGACCGCCCGCGCCCCGCCGCGCCCCGCCCGCGCCGGCCCCGCACACCGCGTGCGACCGCACCGGCCCGCAGCGCTCAGGGCGCGGGGTGAGCCCGGCGCGCTGCCCCGTGAGACACCGGGCTCCCTCCTTCGGGAGCAGGACGGCCGGACGGAGCGCCGAGTCTGTTGCTGCTTCCCATCGTTTTCCTTTCCGAATCTGCCCGTGCCAATTTCTTTGAGAATGTTTTTTTGAAAGCAAAGCCTTGTGAAAAGGGAAGATGGTGCTATGGGTGGAGCCAGGCCCTGGGGCTTGGGAAATTAACTGCAGGCAGACTTTTTCCTGGAATATGTATGTGAAATAAACCTTTTCTGTTTCTATATCGTTTCGAAGTAGCTATATTTCCTTATCATATAGATGTGCTGGGAGACTATATGTCTGTACATACTTTAAGAGAGAAAACGCAGTATTTAAAGCTCTTTAAATGCCCAGGGCAAGGCGAGTAACTACTACAGACAATACGTGTTCCAGAAGTACCAGCTCAAGTGCAGCCCAGGTTCCACGACAGACATATGACACCGTACTCTACCACAGACCACACACAACCTGATGAGCTCCTAAGAGCCCTGTGTTCCACATGTGCCTTTCACATTCTTCACTATGTCATCTGTAGCTTCTGCTACCTTTATTCTCAATGACTCACAGGGGTGCTTCTCCAAGGTCCTGCCTGTTTTCATTAGCTCAGGAACAGCTCAGAGACAACAGGAGTTTAGGGAAGGCCCAACCAAACTTTAGATTTAGGAACATGGTTAAACCCAAATATCAAAGACATGACTTTTGTCAATAAGCTCCAGCATCTCAGGAGGGGAAAATGATGTATCACGGGAGGAAACTAAATTACTCCAGTTTTGTGCCATGATCACCTCTGTACTCCCCTGTCAGAATCAGTGGCTTTCAGAAGCCAATTCAGCATGAGTACTTCTGTGCATTCCGAACAGCCAGACTTTGAACAGTACCTCAACTACATGACAAGTGCCATCAGGTCATAATTAAAAGCAAAACACGCAGATAAATAATGACTATTGACAGCAAGAATGGCAAGAAGCTCTTCATTCATGTATGTAACAACATCACTTGATGCAGATGAGAGCACCTTATAAGGCTGAGAGATGCAAAGCCAGAAGTCGGTGCTTTTGAGAAATGTGGTTTTTCAGGATAACCACAGTACTTGCACTGTCAAAGTGCTTTTATTTACTTCTCATAATTGCCAGCATTAAAGGCTGGAAAATCGAGTCTTTCCTTTCCCGATGTTTCTGCTACTGTGCAGTTTCAAGTATAAGCAATAGTCACATAAACTTCATCCACCCCATTAATTTAGCTGATCTACACAGCCTGTTAGAACCAGAAAAAGACGTCGGCTTCCTGTGCTCTCTCATCACTTTGGACACCCACTTAATATAAGCACTTAACAATAAATGAAGGGAAAGGCTTAACATATCCATTTGAAACAGTGGGCACTGTTTGGAGCGGCATCTTGTCCTCATTCTTTTCTTTATGTTAAACATTATTTACTAGATCCCATTAATAAGAACACACTTAAGTGCAGCTAGAAAAAGGCTGTGTAAGAACAGAATGCTGCAATTCCTACTTGTGCCATTAACCACAAGTGTGGGCTCTCTTCTTCAGCCTTAATGGATCTGTCAGCGAAACTGCTATTGCGCTTTATTGCTGGTGGCACTGGAGGAGTTAAGAGACAGCAAAACTTCATTTTCAGAGCTCCACATTCAGTTTGCAGTGCTGACACCTAGAGTTAAGCTTTCTACTCTGTAAAATAAATGGGTTTGGTTTGCAGGTACACAAAGATAAAATGTACAATTCATGGTGTCATTTCAAAAAATACCAGTATTGGGAACATCCCTGCTTTCCACTTTGAAGGCAAACAAATTCCCACTCAACTAATACCTCCATTTATGCAAATGATAGGCAAATACTGGGGGGTGGGGAAGGGAGGGAGGGGGCACAGGGCATGCTTTGTTTAATATCAGCATGATAAAACAAGAAAGTGCATATGCAAACATGATGTGCATGACCCCTTTGCTCCTTTTTCAGAAGTTTTTCCACAACTATCCCTTGGCAGATTATTACTGATTATTTCTACAGCCTAATTTCAAGAGAAAAAAAAAAGTCCCCATTTACGAGATTTTCATATGAGAACTCACACTGCCTTGAATGGGAGGATGAGATGAGCCTGAATAATCCCTTAGAAGTTTAATAAAAACCATTGAGAAATCACTGGAGTTGTTGTTACACTGAAAAAAAAAATTCAATAAAGACAAAAATTGCTGTTTGAACAAGATGCTGGCACAGGTATTGTCTTGCTTCTCTACACTTGGAAAACACTGGTGCTATTTTTATTGCCAACAGAAAAATACAGTTGAAAGTATAGATTTACCCAAAGACTAGAATCAGAGAGAAGGGGTGAAAACATTGAAATTGTTGCCAATGGTAGTGATTTGTCACTACACTGTATGAAATCTGTGGATAAAAGGCCTTGTTCAAGCTTACTGCTGAAGAGCAGCTCAGGAAATGGTGGGCACTATTATTCAAAAAAAAATTAAATCATGCAAAAGAGCAGAGGAAGAATAGGAGTGTAGACACTGGCAGATTAGGGCTGTGGGGAAAGTGTAATGTCAGCACAGAGTCAATGAGGGAGAGGTCAGAAGAGAACTAGTTCTAGGAGACAGCTGGGGAATGAGAAAGTTTGTTTATGGAGAATAAGGTTGAATTTCATTCAGGATTGCAGAATAAGAAATAATGCTAGGAAAGAGCTTGGAATGATTCCTATCAGCTTGATCTGCAGACAAATGGGTGCTGGGGAAGATCAAAGTATTTAGAGAAGAAATACATGAGCTTCAAAATTTAAAAGGATCAAAAATTACACTATTCAGCCACATCCCCATCCATCTCACAAAGAAATTACACTGGATCCTGAATTTTTTGACAAAAGACTGAACAACGCACTGTACCCCAGATCTTCACCACTACTCCCCATGTCTGCTATCCCCCCGCAAATTTCCATAAGCAAAAGCACTTCCCTTGATGTATCAGCAGTATCCATCCATTTCCCACAGACCTTGACCAATTCCCATTGCACATTATAGAAGTTTGTGCATGAGCACTGGGACAGTTCACTCCTGTCAAGCTACACAAAAATGCATATGAAGGCCTAGAGCAAAAGTTAGTTGCCAAAATCCAGTTCTGATAATATTTCAGTACCCAAGACAATGACAGGTAGAATTATGCAGAAGAAATGATGGACTAACATCTGCATGAACAACAAATATCAGTGTGCTTTAAAAAATGTTTGTCCAGCAGTGGCAGAGCAAGCATGACTGCAGTCCTGTGAGCACAAGCAGCAATCTTGATGTGAGATTACTCTATGTTGTTTTAATTGCTTCTCCCCCCAAGTCAGCTACATGTTCCAATTGTGTCTTTTGGCCTTATGAAAAGTTAGGCAACCCTGCTGGTCTCTAGGCCAGTGAAGGAGGCAGTGGGGAAGAGGAGAAGGAGGAACTGTGGAAAATGTGCCAGCACACAAACAGCTGAATGGACTCTACACTGCTAACTACTGACACGTGCAAGCTGTGACAGAGTACGTCTCTCCAGCCCAAGATATTCCAGAAGACGAAACAAGGACCATATGCTGCCTCAGCCACAAGTGAGTATCAGCATTACACCCCAAAAGCAGGCCAGGGTACTTCTGCTTGTTTGTGTATAAGCATCAGTATCCTGGAACAGTCATTTTCAAGTGACATGAGACAAGTGTAAAATTTGTCCTGAGAGAGCTCATCCCCAACTCCTGGAA